ATCAATTCCAAACTCTCAGGCAAGCACTTATTGCCATGCTTAAGAATATAAAAAGTAAAGCCTAATCCCGACTCTGCCAAACAGTCTAATTAGTTTTTGAAGTTCACCTTTAAGTTGATCAGAGGAAATGGCAAGCAGACTTTAAACTTCAATTAGAACACAAAATGATTACATTTATTCAATAATATAACTCAAGCTTCTTTTTTAAAGTCCTTTGGATATTATGTGTTTAGAGATGCCCAATTTAGTCCTTGGTGAAAGAAGAAGGGACACTGTTTGCGCTGGCAGAAGTCATTGCACAGCTAATATACCAGTTTATCTGAAAGACTCTGGGCAAATAAGGGTGTTGATCAATGGCTAAACCTAATGCATTGTAATTAGTGATGAACAAACCTTCGAAGATTAATTTGTTATCACTAGTCAGGTGCTTTGAAAATGATGAAGTGCTTGGCTACCGCTCAGCATTATTAAACAGGTCAGAGAATGATTCAAGTACTACTCAGATGTTAGACTGCTTAGTTAAATTTTATCTGACTCTCTCTAAATCTCTCAGGGCTACCAGGGCTGAACTAAAAATCTCATGCACTCCTCTTCTTTCCCAATATATTCATCCTTCAGTCATTGGATGGGAGTGTAAGGGAAGAGGATAATGTAACTGTAAGAATCCTGATCCTTCAGAAAAGGTGAGTTGTAGTTCTTGACTTTCTCTAAGCTACTGTTCATAGTAAATAGGCTGGGGCATGCTGGTGCCTTAGGAACCTGAGAGATCTCTGATACCACCATATCTGGTGTGTTTTAAGCTCAGAAACCAACTAACAGATTTGGGGCCAGGCAGGAGGTTTTGCCCCAGGTCAGGCTGCCAAGGACCGCTGAGTTTTTTCCTCTTTCTCTGTCCCATGGGATTGTGTGTTCTCATTTGGGCATACTAGAACCTAATTTAATTTTCTGGCACTGCCCTACCAAGGAACTGGCTAGTACCCTTGTTTCCTCTGCTCTTTACCAGTGACCTAATAGGCTCCCGTTCCCCACCCTCCTATTCTGCTGATTGTATCAGCACTATGTGAAAGACACAAGAGTAGGCATTCTTGGGGATCCTACTGGACAAGCGGTTATTTGCAAGGGGAGGGGAGAGGACACGATGACTTGGAAAGCGGTCAGTTTTGTAAAACCTGGCCCTGGAACATCTTAGAACAACTAGCTTTCTAAATCCACAAAAGAGCCATTGAAATACACAATGCAACAGGATATTGTGTATGTGACCACTGTGGTTTATCTATAGTTCCTCATGCCTTTTGTTCTAGCTACTTTTAAGAAATTTTAAAATACTGTACAGTCTTGAATGCATATCCTAAACTTATGTTCTTTGAATGTGAAATTTTTCTGTTAAACCCAAGCCATATCTTCATTTTAGTAGCAGAAAATATTTCCTGCATGCCGTTTGTAAAGCACATTGGGTTGAAGTAAGCTGTAGATATGTTAACAATTACTGTTTCTCTCCTTAACTATAACTAGGGACCTACCTAATTCATGGAGGCTGCCTCTGTATTTTGTGGTCCCAGGACAGCATCAGATGCCATTTTCAAAGTGGACCGTGGACCATGGCAAGCCCCCCACAACTGGCCAAGGGGCCCAGGAAGTCCTGTCCATCCCTGGAGATTGGAAGATGGCCCCCAGTCAACCTCCAGTGAGAGACAGAACTTCTGGGGCCCCTTGGCCAATCAGTGGTATGGGGAGGCCCTCTTGCCCCTCCCTGGAGATTGACAGGCAACCATCTATCAATCAGTTCTACCATCAGTTGGGTTTCCAGGGCCCCTTGGGCAATCAGAGGCATGGAGTGGCCCGCCACATAAAAAGGCAGCTCTAATGGAGCCAGCTGTGCTCTGCTGTGAAAATCCCACCCCCTGCCCTCCCCCACTCCTGTGCTTCAGGATTGCTAGCGCTTCCTGCCTCTGTTTGCAGCTTCCTTCCCCTCCGCACCCCCCACTTTCCTGCTTTTTGTGGTCCCCACACTTTATCATGAGGACTAGGTTTTTTTTCAAAGAGGAATTACCATATTTGCAGTTTCTGTGAAAACTGCAAAATTGAGAATTTGGCAGGTCCCTAACTACAACCTTCTGGTGACTCTTCCCTGCCCTACCCCCTTGGTGGCAACTCAAGCTTTAGTGGAATTTGCAGTAACTGGAAATGCCTTCTTGAAACCCATGGCATTATTTTTGGGGGCTAGATTTCAAGATGGCAATCCATACCCGTGCGTTTTTTACAATGCTTAGTTGTGCTCCAGTTTCTGAGAGGTACAACTGTGATGAAAACAACCTCCTTGTTGTTTCTAAGGAAAAGAACATCATACTTTCCCATCCCATCTCATACTCCCAAAAAACACACCATTCCCACAGCTTTCACTTTTTATAATAAGCATGACTCCTGGTAGGTTATTTTTAACCCAAAGCACAGGGTTTACTCCAAATGGACTAAATATTAGGTTAACATGTATGCAAAGTCCTAGTTTGAATTATCACTGATAACTGAATTATCACTGATAACTGGACTGAAAACTTCTTTGTGCAACACACCTTGAAATTTGTAACAAATACTGCCTGTCCATTTTTCAGAAACTTAATTTTTATTTGTTGTATGCTAGGGTGTTTGTTTCAGGTATATTTGGATATTTGTAATTGAGTCACTTCTTTTCTGTGTGCCTGTTAGAGCTGCCATTTTACTCTTTGGGCAATTGAAAAGCTTTTTCTTGGCTGCATCTACTCCACTTAGATACCTGGGTTTCTGCATGTACTTCCTGGACTAGAAGAAGCATAAGATCTCTTCAGAAGTTGGAGCTAATGTGGCAATGGGGCAAGTAAGTTGCTTCCACAACAGTGCATTTTAAAGAGGCTTATTTAAAAGGAACGCTGTGCAAATTGGCAAGATGACTTTCTGCAAGCAGGCCCCTAATCTTGGGGAAAGATGGTGTGCTCTTTAGAGACTATGATCTGTCAACCATTATGATATTCACTCCCCTTGCCGAAGACCGAGTGTCAAAGTAATTATCTGAGTATCAAAATAATGGCTTCAGTGTTCGATGTTTGAAAAGGAATGGATGAACCAAGGTTTTGGAAGAAATAATCCAAATTAATTCTCCTTTGATTGTATCATTTTGATTTATTTGAAGCACCTCTAGCATTCTAGCTATTTCTATGTTCTTTGTAAAGCACACACATACAATAAATAGAGCCAAATCAATAAAACAATTAATCCTTCTCCTAACCTACTTTACATCCAATGCTCTTATACTCTAAAACAGAAGGCAGGGTAGTATTCTCATAGAGTAACTCACTGAGAGAGGCATGAGCTTCTGTAGGCTGCAGCCTACTTCATTAGATTGTATGAATGGACTTGCAGCGACCAGAGTTACTAAGTGGAAAGGAATAAAGTAATTCAAACACTTAGCGTCGATAAAGGAGGAAGTAAGAAGGCACCTTGCTGAGAGGTATAAGTGGGTTGAAGAGATCAAAAGAGATAAAGAAAACAATTAATAATTGATGGTTATATATAGGGATAATAAAAGCTATTCCAGGTAGTGGGATAAGACAGTTCTGAGACCATACTTAACACAAACCACTTTGCCCTGCCTTCTGCCTAACTTTAGACTAACATATCTAACTGCTTCTCTCGACTCTTCTTAAGTCATTCCAGAGAGAGAACCTGGGAAAATGGAGAAGGCTTTCATGTACTGAAGGTCAAAAAGTCTGGAATCTATCAAATAAATTAAGTGCATGCCTACAGTAAAAGCATCCTGCCACCAGCTCTATCCCTTTCAAACGATGGTGGGTTGAAGTAGGATGGAGAGCTGAAGGGAAAGCATGCCCCATCTAAGTCAAGCAAAACATCTGGAAGTGGCTACCTCGAAGTCTGGTTTCAGTCTAAAGCATCAGTTTATTTCATAGAAAAGTTAAGCAAACAACACCACACAGAGAAGAACATCTTCCCAGTGCTCTCTTTGTTTGACTCGCAGGCTCAGTGGGGATTCTGTAAGCATACTGGCAACTTATGGCAGGTATGTAAATGTATTATTCTCTAGAAAGGTCCTTTATCACATCAGCCACCATATTTATGCAAGTCCTAGCCATGGTAGATCAGGGTATACCTGACTGTGAAGTACCCACTAGTATTTCTGATAAGGCAAAATAATTAATCAGACTCTTTGAAACTAGACCAAGATACTTTCCGTCTCTGTCTCCTTAAACGAGTCTAAACATACTTTCTTCCAAGGAAGGAATGATCATCATGCTTATTGCTTACTGCTGAATGGCTGCGACTAACTGCTGAAAAGGGCCTTTATAAAGAGCAGCAACAGAACTACAAATGGGAGGGAATGGGATGTTGGCGTAGTGAAGAGTTGGGAGAGGGAAAACCAAAAGGAGTAAAAGGTGCAGCTGAAGTGAGGAGAGGTTGGGGATAAAGAGAGAAATAATGATGAATAAGCAATGCTAGATAGGACTTTCATTTGAGTCAACCTAGCTTCGGCAAGATTCTTCTGTCCCAAGCACAGGCTTTCCTATAGTGAGAAAGACATAAGGATTTCATTTGGAAAACTGGCTTGCTCTGCCAGGGGAAATAATATAGTGTTAAAGGCTAGGGGAAAGGGTTGAGTTCAAACTCATCCTAGTTTTTACAAACTCTTCAAACTCCAGGAGATAAACAGCAGCCATTATTGGTCTCCTACATTGTACATGAATCTTATCAATAGCTGTAATGATTGTCATTTGACAAGTAGTGATTGGTCTGCATTCAGCCCAACTCTGTATCCTCTACCTCAGTTGGCAAATGAACAACTGAGCTAATGTAACCATTGTATGTTCACAAGTCCAATGTGCTCTTGATCTTTAAATAAGGCTGTTATTTTAAGCTTAATGATAAATGTACAATAATTTATAAATCTATAATTGCTCACCCAATGTGTTTTTTAATGAAAAATGATAAAATTATCCCCCAACCTATTTTAGATGTTAATTGCATGGCTGCCCCTTCCTTGTTCCAGGGCGCAGTCCCTGCGGAGAAGTCCCAGACCTTGCCCGGCCAGGGGAAGATGCTTTTATACTTTGTCTAGGTGGTTGTGTTATTGTCACATGAGGGGGTGGTACCATGGTTGCTCCTCTTCCAGGGCAAGCTGCATTGCTGTTTTTTGCCATACTTCCTTCTTCAGCTCCTGGGCTGTTTTTATTAGTAGAGTCTGATTTGGTATCTTGCATCAGCAAAGAAAAAAATAAAAGATTGAAGACAGGTGTAAAGATTATTTTTGTTATTATGGTTAGAGTAAATGCTTTTTCTTCATGTATTTCCAGTAGCAGCTGCCATTTTAATACACAATAAGTCAATGCTTATAAATCTCAGCTCAAGGTGCCCACCCCTCCCCACGAACCCTAGCATGTGTCTCTGAGGATTGGTTGGAGATAGTGGGTCCAGGACATGACACTGCCCCAAGCCTGATTCTACTGATTGCGTAGGGCATAGCTGTCATGGACCCTGGGGTTGCTCAAGCTAGATCTCTATGCTCATCTGAGTGTCAGGATCTGTTATGGGTCATTCCCAGCATGCTGTTTGTTCAACTTAAGGTGTGATACAAATGAGTCACAAAGACATGTCATGTTATAGTATCATGCCACAAAAATGGCTTTAACATGTGACTGGGTTCCTATTTATGGTGCAATTAATACCATAATATCATCTTAAATTTAACTTGTGTCAGGACCCATCGTCTCATAAATATACCCTGAGGTATGGTCATAAAATACCCTTGTTGTGGTCTCTCTGAGGTTAGTATATGGCCCAGTTTCTTTTTTCCTGTAATCATCTCTCGGTTAGTCTCCCTCCTGCCCCAAAGTGTACAATAGTTTTTACCTGCTGTTGGTTGGGACTGACCTCCACTTTTTGTGCTCGGCGTGAGAAAGTCCTCTAAATCTTGCGTTGCCAAGTTAGTGGTAGCTTTGTTGTTCCTCTTATTTTTCTCCTCTTCACGTTGCTGCACCAATTAAAATTGTTAGATTTATGTTGCAATTGACTGTATTTTGCCAAATAACTATTTGCTATCATAGGATTCCTGAAAGGTATTTTTGTGGAATTCATAGATTCATAGATTGTAAGGCTGGAAGGGACCTCGGAAGATCATCGGGTCCAGCCCCCTGCACCAAGCAGGAAAGATAACTGGGGGTCAGGTGACCCCAGCAAGGTGACCATCTAGTCTCCTCTTGAAGATTTCCAGGGTAGGTGATTGCATGACCTCCGGAGGGAGCTTATTCCACCAGAGGTGGTACAATCACCTACCCTGGAAATTGATTGGACAGTCTTTGATCCATTAAATTTTTTTTGGTTTCATTTAAGAAAAAATGTTGGGCCTGGCAAGTTAAAGGCCTAAAAACAAAAAAGGACAAAGTTTATAACAACTGCTTTTAAGTCTGTCACAGATATGTCCTTCTGCACCCACCCTAATATTTCTTATTACAGATTTCTTTGGCTGAAGGTGGTGTGCGCGTACATGTATTTAATAGTGTACCCAGGAACTATGTTCTTTAGTCAGACTTGGATTCCAAGTCATAGCATTATTTCAGTGAATGGCAGAGTCAGTTCAGAAGAAAGGCATTTCCCTCAGGTTCTTCTGTGCATTCTCAGACTGTCAGTCCCAAGAAATCCCCCCGGTTCCCATCATCTGGAATGGTATTGCACCTTCTGAACCACTAGGTTCTTCTCTCCCTAATGAGTGAAGATAATGATACTAACCATTTTCATTAGGGTAGTTTGGGAACTATAGGTAAGCAATGCTGTTACGGTTGAACTACTGTATTCCTTCTGTTCTTAACAGGGCCTTTTCATAATGTTATAAAACATAAGTTAATTTAGGAGCACTTGTTCATCTCTGCAAATCTCATTTTCCTTTTGGTATTCATTGTACCAGCATTAGTGGTAAGGAATATATCTGGAGATAGACTTTTGTTTTAAGGTGTGATGTACTGTTCTTGGGAAATTTCAGTGTCATTTTAATATCTATTAATATTATTATTGAGTGTTACCCATGTGGCACTTAGTAACTGAACACCAAAGAGGATGATTTTCCACATTGTATGATCTATACAGAAAATGCATTACTCTTATCATAGTTCCATTCTGTGGTTTAAAGGGAAAATCAATTAGATTAACAACTTGTATATCAAAATAAGTGTGCGCAAAATATCAGAAATGCTTTGACTGGGTAAATTAGAGGCTTACCACTTGCATTTTCTTCTTCAGTTCTGCATTGGCATGTTGATATGCTTCAGCCACTGCATTCAGGTAGTAGATGGCTAGACTATAAAAATAAAAACTATTGTTGTGATGACAAGAGAAATAAAAGGCCTATCCCAGAAAGAAGATATGCATATAACCCCTGCAGTTAGTGTATGCATCTCCATCAGGTACACTTTCAGATGAAAACACTGAGAATTCTTTCAAAAGCATTGAATTGCTTGAACACCAAACAGTATATAAGTTTTCTTTTATTTGATATGCTGCTTGCCAGTTTTGGGAAACAAAAAAGTAGTATGTTGGAAAAGAACTCAGTACTGGAGGCCACTGGTCCAAAGCAGAAGTAGCAGGCCAACTATGACTTGATGATCTTCCAGGTCCCTTCCAGTCCTTCTGTTCTATGTTTCTATGATACCTGGCAATATCTGAACTGGTAGACTTCTCAGGACTAAGTTACTTCTCTCTGGGTGTATCTACATGTGCTACTAAGGTGATGTGATAACTTCCAGTGCAGTTCATGCTTCAGTCAGCTGCTCCTGGACACAGCATGTTCACCTGGGACAGCAGGACTTTAAGCCAGGATGGAGCAGCACTAAGCTGGCAGGGAGCTTGTGGCATCAGCCCCAGGCTCTGGGTGGCGATGTTGGGCAGTGGAGAGGCTGGCTGGGTACAAGGGTGCTACAGTGTGGGGCTAGGCAGCAGGCCACACTTCAATACCCATGTGCTTCAATCAGCCCCTATCACTGTCTACACATGTATTTCAGCAGAATAAAATACTCTGTCATAGGATAGTATTGTCCCCAACAGTACTGTCCTATGGTGGAGATAATTAATTTACTGTGCCCTAATATCAGCCCATGTGGAGACTGTGATGCTTTACCGTGGAGCTAATTAGTCAGCTCTGTGCACATGTAGATGCAGGATGCAGCAAATACTGCACCTCCATTTAAAAAAAAAAGAAAAAGAAAAAAAATTAATACTAGAATTTGGGGGCATTGCTTTTAACTTCCATGTAAACACCTTAAGTCTTAATTTCTCTATTAGACCTCCCAGAAATCCTTTCAATCTATTCCAGCCCAATTTTCATTAGGTAGTCTCTTCCCTGATTAATGCCCTCAGACAGGAATTAGGTCAGAAGTACCTTGCCAATTGTCTCCTGTCCTAGAATACTGTCCCAGGCTGTACTGTTTTCAATATCCAGTAGTTCTTTTTTGTAAACTTAGAGTGCAATAGCAATGATGGAATGAAGACTGGGCAGATGATCTTGAAAGGATATAGAGAAGATAACAGATGCCTAAAGGCTATACGTAAATGTTTGTGTTCATCTGTGATGCAATACCACTGATTTTAAGAAAGGTTTCATTATGGTCTACTCTGAGCAGTCATTAGTTTCATAGCTGACATATACACTGCAAGATCACCCAAGGAACAGAGATTGCTTACCTTGAGTCCCTAGGGTATGTCTATTTTATGGTGGCAACATGTACTGATCAGGACTTTCATAAGCAATGCCTTATTCATCTACTCCCTCCCGAGTGCTTCAGGGCAGTGACCAAAGTCTTGAGCAGGGTTGGGCAATTATTTTGGCTGGAGGGCCACTTAATGAGTTTTGGTGAGCTGTTGATGGCCACAAGGGTAGCTCCACTCCTTGACAGGTGCCCTGCCCCCTGGTTGCCATTTTAGGACTGGAAGTCCTGCCCCTAACCCTTGACCTTTGCCACTGGAAGTCCTTAGAAGGAGGGGCCCTTCCCTTGCCCCCTCCTTCGATTCTAAAAGGAATAGAAGTACTCATTTAAGGGGGGAGAGGGTTGCCATCTTGGAATGAGAAAAAAACAAATCATATAGTCTTGGGGGTTTTGATTGACCACAAGATGAACATGAGCCACCAGTGCGATGCTGTGGCCAGCAAAGCAAACCAAACTCTGGCATGCATCCACTGATACATCTCAAGCAAAACCAGGGACGTCATCCTCCCACTTTACTTGGCCTTAGTGAGGCCGCAGCTGGAGTAGTGTGTCCAGTTTTGGGCCCCCCACTTCAGGAGGGATGTGGATAAGCTTGAGAGAGTCCAGAGGAGAGCTACCCATATGATCAAAGGCCAAGAGGGCAAGCCTTACGAGGAGAGGCTGAGGGACACGAGAAGAGAAGAAATAAAAAACTTCTTTACAGTCCAAGTGTCCAATGTCTGGAACAGACTCCCTCAGAGGTGGTGCAGGCAATTCCCACATTGAAGCAAGTCCAATAACCACTAAGTTTTCCATTTAGACTAGCAATTATTTTGCTCCATGGCTTTGAACTGAACTGTTGATAATAAGTAGAGATTGGGAAATTGGTGCAAACAAGCCAGGTTTGAGTGGAATTATGGCTTTGGGCTTGACTTTCTCCCCCACAAAAAGGAGAAACCCAAAAAAAAAAGCCAAATGAGAAGGAAACAAAAGGTGAAGGGGACTGGAGGAGATGTATTGGCAGGCAGTCTTTCAGCTGCAGTGAGACACGTATTTTAAAATGCTGAAGCATCTGAGTCTGTCTCATCATCACTGCTGCCAGCCACTGATATTTTGGTTGTCAGATGTCTCATCCTGCTTTTGTAGAATAATTTTATTCTTTTTAAAATACAAATATCATCTGTTCAGTGACTCTAAGCCATTCCTGAAAGATCCATTTGGTTCACCACTGTTGATTTTTATCCCCCTCCCCAATATGAATATATATTTTGGATGTGTACAAAGCTTACTGACAGTCTATAGTTTGATTGTGTAGTCATGGCTTCATGGCTAAGTGAGGTTGGAAGGAGTTTTTGTTTGTTTGTTTGCGGAGTAGATTAAAAAAAGAGGGAGCATCTAAGTTTTTGGAGGTATTTTTTTTTTAATTCCTTGAAGGCAATGTTTCTTTACTGAGGTGCTGTAGTACCCCAAAATGCTGTGAGACCCTTTAAGGAGTGCCATGGCTAAGGCACTGCTGGCACTACCAGGGGGAACTTCCCTGTGCATGTTGCTCAGAGCCTGATTGAGAAGCAGCTGTGGCAGGGGCATTTGCTCTTCCTGCAGCTGCTTTACAATCTGGCTCTACCTGATTGAGAACTACTAAGATAAGACGAGGAAGTATGATATGACACTGGCTCTCAACCAAGGTGCTGCCAAATTCAGAAAATCATGGAGGTCTGCCTTGTAGCTGAAAAGACTGATAATCACTATTTTAAAGGAACAACACATAGAAAGCAACTATCTGGAAAGAACATACTAAGCTTGTAGAGACCCTTGTAATGCCACTAAGGCAAACATCAATCTACATTTTTGATAGGCTGCTGATGCTAGGCTACCCAGATGAAAAATCTGGGGCAACAAAATCTTTCCTTTTGCCCTTTTCTTTAATGTAACCACACAAAGAAAGAAAGAAAGAAAGAAAGAAAGAAAGAAAGACTTTTACTTTGACTTTTAACAACTTTATTTCACAAAAGATCAGGTACAGAAAGCAAAAAACCATCAAACCACACCAAAGAGAAACCATTCCAGGACATTCAGATCATCACCCCGTGACAAACACCTTCACAGTAATACACATCATGTCTAACATGCTATATATAGCCCTCGAGAAACGAACAATTCCACCCTTCCCTGTCCCCTGGTACACGTACAAAAACCTTCAACTTCTCACCCCGAGAAAATAAACAAAAGCAGCCTGGTGAGGGCCCAGGGCACGGCACAAGCTGGAAGCTACAGTCCGCCACCGCGCCCACCCGGTCGCCCAGACCGGTCAAGACATCAGAGCACGTATTTGAGATGGCCGTCCTCCACGTGGCACAGCGCTCCCTCAAGGGCCCAGAGTGCCTCGAAGGCGGGCACCCCCCGCCGGAGCACAGCGTGCTCAAACTCCAGCGAGAGGCGCGCCCGCCCTAGGAGGCCGAAGAGCCGCGGGGCATCATCTGAGCCGGTGCCGGCAAGCCGGTTACGGCGGCTCTTGAGGACGGCCATCTTGGCCTGGCCCAGCAAGAAGTGGCAAAGGCGTGCCGCAGGCGGGGACAGTCCAGGAAGGCGTGAAAGAGATCCTTCTCCACGCCCTGAGGGCAGAAGGGGCAGGCTGTCGAAGCGGCTGGGTCAAAGTGGGACGCAAACGTGCCAGTAGCTAGGATGCCGTGCAGCAACCGCCACTGCAGGTCGCCAGTCTTCTTGGAGGTCGGCGGCTTATACAATGTGCGCCACGCCGGGTGGGCCGGTGGGGAAGCCGGTGGCCCCAGGCGCCGTCGCCACGATGTAAGAAAGAAAGAAAGAAAGAGAGAAAAAGAAAAATGGCTTCAAGGCCCCCTGCTCATTAAGTTTTGACCTTACTGCACTTAAGTGCACATAAAGGAGTCATGCTTTGGAACAGATTAATTAATTTGCTTCTTCAGGCCCTTTTGGGACTATATGGACTTTGTTTATCTCTGCCTTATTCTTAAAATTTTTGAATTACTACTTGAGTAAATCAGTTTGGGGGGGGGGGGGGGGTTGTTTGTTTGTTTTTTCCAGATTCCCATTTCCGTTTCAAGTTTATGGTATCTTTTTCCTTAGCAACAGTGTCCATTCAAAATCATGTAACTTTTAACTCCTGGGCAATAAAAAGCAAAATGTATAGAAGAAGTGAACTACTGAAAATGAGTTTCCATTGGGGCACAATGCAGTCCAGCCCTGGAAGTGACTTGGGCTTAAATTTCCTCTTTCTCCTGTAGTCACAGTGGCTGCTCTGCAGTGTACTATTATCACACTCTACCTTGTGATTCTGCATGAAATAACTTTGGGTTCCTACAACTACAAATCCTTGCTTAAGGATATAGTACTTGATTCTGAGGGGGAGGGGAACAACTTGAAGGAGTGTAGAGAAGTTAAGTGAGTATCTGACTACACTGAAACCACAAGTATGACTATATCTTGTGTAGGTGTACCTGCACTCTCTTAAATTTAGTTATATTTGGTGTGTCAAGATGCTCCTAACTTCACAGGTCATTTGATCAATCGATGCATCTCCAGTAAAACCAAAGAAGTGATTCTCCCACTTTACTCTACATTGGTGTGGCCACAGCTGGAGTAC